TTTTCTCTTATCCATATTTGGCGAACAAAATATTCTTTTTTTTTCTCTTATCCATATTTGGGAAACAAAATATTCTTTTTTTTTTCTCTTATCCATATTTGGGAAACAAAATATTCTTTTTTTTCTCTCTTATCCATATTTGGGAAACAAAATATTCCTTTTTTCCCCTCCCTCCGGGTAACTATGACCCGTGACAATGTGAAAGAAAGGCAACAACAAACCAACCTGATCTCTCCTCATTATGATTCGGAACTTGATTTCCTTCTTGTCTTTCAGAATCTTCATTTCCCCAACACCCCTCTCTTTCCAGGCCTTCACTTCCGTATCAAACCTGAATAGCCGACATCGATCCACGTGCAGCTGCAAGAAAGGGGGGAAAATTCATACACTAAATTAATATATTTTTAGTTTTAGTTGAGGTTTTACGGCGCTCGCAACTCCTTAAGGTCATATGAGCGCCAGAAGTTTAGAGGTGTTACAAGAGAGTAACAAACATAAAAAAGAAGAAGGGGAGATAAGGATTAAGGATGATAGCTGTTTCATAGGAAAGAAGAAGCAAACCACACCAGAGCACCCGCCAACCACCCACATTAATATATTTACCAGAGTATTAAGTCAAACAGCTGATAACAATAATGGCGGGTCTCGTGGCCTTAGACATAAATAAATATGCATGTCGAAACTTTGTGAACCCAGTCTTCTTTTTTCCAGTTAGTGCACCCCCCCCCCCAAAAAAAAAATAATTTTTTTTAAAGACTCCTTTTCACCATAACTTTGGTTGTAGGACAGATATCTTCAAACTTTTAAGTGATGAACATTCGGGGGAGACGGTCTTAAAAAGTCAGACAGAAAAGTCCAGACGTCGACACATTCCAACTTCTTGCAGGTTGCTTCTCATGCACCACAAGCTACGACTATATTTGTGGACTGTTACATGAGACAACTGACTGATCTTACTGCAACTGTTACATGAGACAACTGATCTTACTGTAACTGTCCATGAGACAACTGATCTTACTGTAACTTTCACATGAAACAACAGACTGATCTTACTGTAACTGTTACATGAGACAACTGACTGATCTTACTGTAACTGTTACATGAGACAACTGATCTTACTGTAACTGTTACATGAGACAACTGATCTTACTGTAACTGTCCATGAGACAACTGATCTTACTGTAACTGTTACATGAGACAACTGATCTTACTGTAACTGTCCATGAGACAACTGATCTTACTGTAACTGTTACATGAGACAACTGAACTTACTGTAACTGTTACATGAGACAACTGATCTTACTGTAACTGTTTCATGAGACTACTGATCTTACTGTAACTGTTACATGAGACAATTGATCTTACTGTAACTGTTACATGAGACAACTGATCTTACTGTAACTGTTACATGAGACTACTGATCTTACTGTAACTGTTACATGAGACAATTGATCTTACTGTAACTGTTACATGAGACAACTGATCTTACTGTAACTGTTACATGAGACAACTGATCTTACTGTAACAGGGATGCCACTCAACTTTTAAAAAAATAGCTGAAAATCCATGCGCCACGGTCTTGCTAACATATGAAACCAAAAGGGTGTACATATAGAGAAATGACAAACAAACAAAAACAATGGGTGTACGTTGAAAGAAATGACAAAACATTTAAAGAAATATAGACTAGATGTACTTAGATGTGGGTTGTTTTTTTTCCAACTATAGATTGATTCTATCTCGATCTCAGTAACGGAATAGCGGATCAGGATCAAAACACAGGAAAAAAAAAGCGGAAAAGTGGCATCCCTGCTGTAACTGTCCAAGAGACAACTGATCTTACCGTAACTTCATTCTCCTCCCCTGTCGTCTTGTTGACCAGCTCCGGGAGCGAGATGACCGGCTTGAAGTCCACGTTGGGCTCGTACTCCTCCACAACTTCATCGTCAGGACCCCCCGAGCTCTTGGGAGCAGGGCCGGGACTCTTTGCTGACGCAGACGGGGACTTCTGCACACTGCCCACTGGTCACAGAAACGGAATTTCTCACATTAAGAAATGTTAAATTGTACGTACGCAATACTTCTTGACAGAAACAGGACAATGACACAGAAGAAGAAAGTTAATAAGACATCAAATTTTCAAAAACATTTTCAGTTCTGTCTATGTGTGTCAATCTGAATCATCGCCAGTCCCTCAAAAAATTGCTGGCCTTTTTCTGAAGTTCAACTTTAGTACTCGTGCAGAGATTGGTTTCATGTCAAACAACACTGGCTTGACTTAACACAGATAAGGGAAGGTATTCAACAAACATCTCTTCGGTTGCTTTTAGTTCCCTGAGACAATTCCACAGCGTCTTTTCAACCCTGTCAAAGGCATCTGCCATAACTTTCTGACTATCCAAATTCGTAAGAGAAGCAACTTGACAATAAACCAAACCCAACCCACACTCAACAAACAGCCCCCCCCCCCCCCCCCAACCCAAACCACACACAACATACAAGCCAAACGAACCCCCCCCCCACCAAATAAAGGTGATAACAAAAAGTAATTTAATCACTGACAATGATTTAAAAAAAAAAAAAAAAGATTGCCGTACAATTCTTTGATGCGTCTAGAGCTGGCAAAGCACCAAATTTCAGCTCTGGTTTGGGGACACCAGTAGAAGGGGTGAGAGAGAAACCAGAGAACGGCTTGGGTGCGTCACCGGCAGCAGCTGTAGAGAATAGAAGGAAGAGCATTAAGAGTACACACAGCTCTGTTCACAAATGGCTTGCTAATCAATGATCAAGTTGGAAAAAGTAGTCCATTTTTTTGGTATTCTCACAACGAACCTTTGTTTTAATAAGAGTTTTGCGGCATTTGCAACACAATAAGGTAATATGAGCGCCAGAAGATTAGAGGTGTTACAAGGGAGTAACAAACACAAAAAAGAAGGAGGGGAGGTAAAGATGATAGATGTTTGGTAGGAAAAAAGGAGCAAACCACACCAGAGCACCTGCCAACCACCCACTCACACACACAGCTCTGTTCAGAAATGACTTGTTCATCAATAATCAAGTTGGCAAAAGTTTTGTATTCTCACAATGAACCGTGGCGTAAAACCTGAGAATGTGACATCGACATAAATGTTTTTAAAAATTTGAAATAAAAGACATAATTTGAGTAGAGAGGACCACATCAACCCACAAGGAAAGCGTAAGAAGGGAAGACCTAAGATGACATGGAGGCGAGCGGTATCAGCGGAAATTGAAAAAGCGGGGACATCATGGAAACAGATAGAAAAGGATGCTCAGGACAGGCTTCGCTGGAGTAATGTTGTTGATGGCCTGTGCTCCACTGGGAGTTAAAAAGGGCAAGAGAGAGAGAGGACCACATCAATATCAAAACATGTACATCATCAGTGCAGGGAAAGAGAATGACAGACATAGACCCCCCCCCCCCCCCACCCCCCTCTCTGTATATAAAAAAATATATCCCCCTCTCTATATATATATATATGTGTATTTTCACAGAATATTTCCTACAAGTTTTCAATGCATAGTGACCAGTTCAGTATTAGACAAAAGTCCTTTTCCTACCCTGAGGGCTTTTATGAGCTTCTGCTTTCACCCGTTCTTTGTCGGTGCTCGCCGATATATTTGGCGTTGATGAAAACGTAAAGCCGGCAAATGTTGCTTTCCCTGCCTCTTTGCCATCTCCGGGTTGCACTGTGGAGGAAGATGAAGCACCCATGAGACCAGGCGTTCCTCCGATGTTAAAGCCCACACTTTTGGCAGCTGAATCTGGAGCTGGGGAAAACGGAACAGAAGGTGACATTATGCAACTAGCTGGGTACACTTTCGATGAACGGAGTTCAAAGAATCGTCGATCGTCAAGTCATTGGGGAAAAAGTGCGCACAGCTTGTGAACGGAAGCGTCACTTGTTCACAATGGCGTCTAAGAAGACGGACTTTCCCAAGATTAGATCAAAACGAAACTAATGAAAAACTGAAAATTAAACTACACTGACTTCAGGCTCCTCAATAAAACTGCGCACCCTTTAAATGATTCTGAACCACCATTAATTTTGTCAAATTCGAAAGTTAAGTGGTTCGGAAGTTTTAGGCGGCCAAACTGACGGACTTTCACTCACAAATATAATATGTATAGATGAAACTGTTTGCTCACTAACACAAATTCAGACAGAACACTATCGTTTGCTTGACCTTTTAGAAATAAAAGCAGAATTTCCATGGAAGGTCTAGTAAAGCTATCCAAGAGCAACAAAACTTACTATTATTACACACTTGCAAAGATGTCAAATTAAAATAGAAAATAAAAATAGAAAAAGAACAAACAAATCAAATAGGTCATTAATACATGAATATTAGGACAGGTGGACAATCCTGTCTGTTTCAATACTGATTATCTAGGACCCCGATTGTTTATAAATAACATTTTCTGAACAAATAATTATATAAATTTACTAGATCACATTTTTTCATGGTACAAAACACAGCTCAAGTACAATAAACATAGCTGCCACTCAGAAATTTTAAAAAAGGAGGAAATTCACGCGAAGGCGGACGCGCGCTCTCCGAAACTAGTGAGATCCAGAGGCAATATATACTGGAAAAATCTAGCCTATGGTTTTGGAAGGGAAAACTGTCATTTTGTTAACCATAGGCAACTGAATTAAAATGTATTTGAAAAAAAAAAAAAAACCCAAAAAACATAAAGGCAGTAAGTTGACTAACAGGCATTCGAGTCAATTTGACACAGTTTGGACTTGGTGACTAAAAATCCAGTGTTTTTTGCCAGCTGGTGTCTCATAAAAAGATTTCTTTCCCTTTAAACTTGTACATACATAGACGTAGAGCAGTATCGGATCAAGGATGCAGGCACTCCTGTACAATTGCGGTCCCGTTTGCACTTAGTGCCCCTGTAGTGTGTTTCTTATTTAGAGATCTAAACTGAATTAAATTTATAGCCTAGGCTATCTAATCTAGATCTAGATATATCTAAATATGTGTAGATCTAGATTATATCTAGATCTAGAGATAGATTTTCTAGATCTAGAATCTAGATCTAGATTCACTTCCGCAGCAGCCCCAATAGCCGTCATGTAAACAAACAGGACCGCAATTGTACAGGAGTGCCGCGATTTCTTTCGCAAAAAACGGCTAGTTCAATTTTCTAATGAACTTTTCAAGTCGCACACCGGCTGCTTCTATCTCATTCCAGCTCCTTTTATTTTTGCATTCTGAATCAATTTCTCTCGAATTTCCGCCAATTTCAATGACAATTCGGCGCGCTAACGTCCCGATGCCCGATCGACACTGTGTTGCTCAACAACAATAAACCATACAAACAATGTGAAACTAGCGCTGGGGCTAGAAGAACGGAAATAGAAAGCTACGGGCGGACATGCGCAAACCGCATTTTCGTCTCTCTCCCGGTTCGGTGTTTTCCGCAGGGGGGGGGGGGGAGTATGAAATTTGCGACCAAGAGCGGTCCAGCAGAGGAAGGAGGAAAGTTGCGGGAAAAGCTAGATGTAGCAGAGTTTCCGCTATTTAGCGGGAAAGTGGCAGCTATGAATAAAACAAATTGGCAAATCAAGACAAACTGAGAAACAAAGTGATAATCTGAATGACCTGAAAACATCTACTAGCATCAATATATAATACATTTTGATTTTGCTCTCTAAACAAAGGAAGGCCAACTTGAAAATATTATAAACTAAGTACAGTGTACAAATCTTGGCAGACCCTACAACTTACCGATAATGGTCATAACAGGGAAAAAAGATACAACACAAAACATCTGAGGCTTTCATAACTGCACTTATACATCTGTATACCTATCGTAGTATCTTTTAGTTTAGTTTTAGTAGAGGTTTTACTGCGCTCACAACTGCATAATACCTGTCTTTAAAAGGGGCCTCTCAAGCCAGATAAAGTAGTTATATGTACATAAATGTACTTACCGTTACCTGGCGGGATATTGACAGGAGGCCCAGCAGCTGTATCAGACTTCGACACACCTGCAAACAGAGATACAATATCTCGCTCTATTACTTAACTCCAGAACTGGGGTCTTCAGAGACAGCTTCTATCCATAACCCCCCCCCCTCTGGGTCCATATAGAGATACAATATCATTCCTCACAATTAAAAAAAAAACAACTCAAAAACTTTTCTCTCAAAGCTAAAGGGTTCCAACCAATGTGGAACGCATATACCACAAGACCAAAATTCTTTCAACAAAAGAGCTGAAACCTTTGAAATTTGAACATTTCTCACACTGTTCAAGAATTTAAAAACCTTGTCATTACTATTTGTACATATTTAATTTCGTTAAAATCTCCAAATGATTATCGCAGAGAAACTGAAGCAAAAAAGCAAAGCTTGGTCATTTATGATTCTGAGTCAGTTTCCACACCAAGGTGTCTGACTGCTTATAAAATAAACGCAGCATTAAATAAAATAAAATAAAATAAGTTTTCATTTACCAGCCCCCCCCCCCCCCACCCCCCCCCATCTTTTCCAACATTTCGCAAAATACAAAAACTGCCGAAACCCTCACCTGCCATGACAGATTTTTGCCCCGGGATTTCAGTTGTCAGGACGGTGGACGGAGACGAGCCTGGCATGACCATTCCCGACAACGGGGAGTTCTGTGTGGCCACAGGAGGGGCGCCACCGACCGCCCCCATCTATGGTAAAAGGAAGGGGAAAAACTTGATTTTAGTTTTAGCAAGGTTTTTAGTTTTAGTTTAAGTAAGAGTTTTACGGCGCTCACAACTGCATAAGGTCATATGAGTGCCAGAAGATTAGAGGTGTTACAAGAGAGTAACAAACATAAAAAAGAAAGAGGGGAGATAAGAGACGATAGAGACTTTTATATAGGAAAGAAGGAGCAAACCACACCAGAGCACCCGCCAACCACCCACTTAGTAAGGTCTTGCGGTGCTCGCAACTGCATACGGTCACATGAGCGCCAAGGGGTGGATGTCAACAGAGAAGTCCAAACGGGGAATCAGGCTTATTCTGCTCACCCCTCTAGCCTCAACAACACAAAGTCTGCTTTGACTATCAAGGCACCCGGGAAATAGCAGTTCACAAGAGAGTGACAAACATACGAAAGAAGCAGAGGAAAAATGACGATAGTAAGGAAGAGGAGAAAAAAAAAGCAGAAGTTCTCCCTATGTTGTTTCGGCACAGTATGAGCATGACATTGATGAATCCCTGATAAAGTAGAACCAAGTCAGCTAAAAACCATGAAAATAATTATAATAATAATTATAATAGATTGCATTTATATAGCGCTCTATCCCACACTAGTAAAAGCTGTAAGCGCTTTACACTAACCACATGATCATTGAGCGATTCACACAAGAGAAAATAATTTCACAGAAACAAAAAAAAAACCCAGTTCAACCACATCATACATTAACTATATACATGAAAGGACAGCAGTAAAAACAAAACATATCAGCACTTACTAACACACCACAACTAAGAATTTCGTTTTACGGCACTTGCAACACAATAAGGTCATTTAAGTGCCGAAGATTAGAGGTGTTACAAGAGAGTAACAAACACAAAATAGAAGAAGGAGAGAAAAGGACGATAGATGTTTGATAGGAAAGAAGGAGGAGCAAACCACACCAGAGCACCCGCCGCTATAACTAAGAATGAAACAAACGAGTCTAGAGCCGGGATGCCTAATGATTTTTGAAGAAACACCCCCCCCCCCCCCTGAAAATGAGCGGAGCCTCACATCTCACCTAAAATGTACTTTGCAAAATCTTTAAATGAGCAAACAAAAACATTTCTCTTACCATTCCGCTTTCCTTTGCAAGTGTAGGAAAAAACCCCCCAAAAAACCGACAAAAAAGCCGGAGATTTGGCTTTCCTGCTAGAGAAATCGCCTTAAAAAATCAACATTCGCTTTAAAAAATTAACATTCCTAAGCAGTAGCAGCAGCAGTAGCTCACCCCGATGTTTGGCTGCGGTGGCACCGTGGAGGTTGGGGAGGAGAAGAAGCCGGGCCGGTAGGCCATGGGCTTCATGCCAGCCGGGCCGGGAGAGTTCTGGGCATACTGCAGGGACTGTCCCCGCAGGGCCGAGGCGAAGTAGCCCGCCGGCGGCATGCTCATCCGGGGCTGCATCTGAGGAGGTCCCGGCATCGGCATGCTGGGCGGTGGGTCGACCGTCGGGCGCGAGTTCAGGGACCAGTCCTGGCCGAGGGACAGATCGTACCAGGCGAGAGATGAAATTTGCTATTTGAATTTCATAGGTGTACAGAAAAGTGGGAAGACATGGAATAACATCGAGAAACCAGCCCAAGGAGAGAGAAAGGCGGAAGGTGTTTGTCCGTGGCCTATACCCTGGTGCAGGGTGAGAAAGGCAATGATGATGATGTGAGATGAAAGCGTGAAATATGGAAGAAAAGATCTTTGATGGCTATATTATGATCTGTTTGTTCTATGTTTTAGTAGAGGTTTTACGGTGCTTGCAACTGCATAAGGTCATATGAGCACCAGAAGATTAGAGGAGTTACAAGAGAGTAACAAACAAAAAACAAGAAGGAGGGGAGATATATAAGGACGATAGATGTTTGATAGGAAAGAAAAAGCAAACCACACCAGAGCACCCGCCAACCACCCACAGTGTCTTTTTAGAGGACACAACAACTGACTGAACACAATAACAAAATAGAATAAGATATATATGTATATAAAATAAATAAATAGCATTTGTATAGTGCATATCCCCGCTCAACAGCAGGCTCTAGGCGCTTTACACTATATTATTACCCCAGCAGACCATAGAACACTCCGAAATATTCTCAGCTTCCCGGGAAGCATACAGTGCAAGCAGCTGATTAAGCGCTCAAACACTAACAAACTGACAAGATCTTTCACTGTCTATAGCCGGGTACCCATTCCCACCTGGGTGAAGTGAGGAAAATTCGTGTTAAGTGCCTTTCCCAAGGACAAAACGTCGGGCCCCTGACGGGATTCGAACCCATGACCTTGCGGTCGCGAGTCCGAGAGCCTAACCACAAGGCCACCGACGCCACAGAAATACAGAGAGTGATAGCTTACACAATGTCCTTTCAAATATTACGCTTGCCAGCTCTTCTCAGAGAGTGAAATAAGGAAAATGCAGAGTTCCGGGAGGGGGGGGCGCGACTCTATTCTGCACAACCGGGGAAGGAGATCGGTATCATACTTTTGACTAGACATCAACTCGAGGTCCATAAAAGTCTCATACGAGTAACTTCCAGCGGCAAGATTGAAAGAGACACCTTTACCTGCATGATCTGCGAATCGGGCGTGTAGTACTGGGTGAAATCTGGATCGTAGTACTCGGCAAACAGGGCAGCCGAGTCGTCAGCGCTGTTGACTTCATCGTCCTCGTCCTCCTCGTCGTCCATCTGCGCCTTGTACTTGCCTACCGTCGGCGTCTGCTGGCCGGGGAGACCCGAGGGTCTGTACTGGGGCGCCCCAGGGCCCATGGGGGGTGGCTGCGGCGGGACCGAGGAGTTGAGCAGGTAGCTGTAGGTGGCCGCCGGCATCATGGGAGGCTGCGGGGCCAGGCCCGGGAAGGGACCTCGGGGTGGGGGCACGGGCGACGGGTGGGGCATGAACACGGGCGGCACAGGGACCTGAGGCAGCGCGGGGGGAGCCAGGGGCACCAGGCTGGGTTTCAAGCTGGCAAACTCTTTCTGTCACGGAATGTGGAGAAACAAGATTTTTTAAAAATAATGTTAGTAGAGGTTTTATTACGGCGCTCACAACTACATACGGTCACATGAACGCCAGAAGAATTACTACAAGAGAGTAACAAACATAAAAAAGAAGAAGGGGAGATATAGACGTTTAATAGGAAAGAAGAAGCAAACCACATCAGAGCACCCACCAACCACCCACTGTTACAGAACGTGGAGAAACAAGATTTGTCAGCACTTTGTGCTGTAGTGCACATATTGAGTCCACAAGAACACCCACAGCATTTCACAAGGAAGCATACTTTTACAGCACTTGCAACACAATTAGGTCATAAAAGTGATGAAGTTTAAAGGAGTTACAAGAGAGAGGCAAACACAAAAACGATAGATGGGTGATAAGAACGATAGATGTCTGAAAAGAAAGAAAGAAAGAAAGGAGAGAAAGAAAGAAAAAAGATAGAAAGAAAAGAAAGAAAGAAAGAAAGAGCAAACCACACCAGAGCACCCGTCAACCACAAACAAAAGGCATCTATACAAGAATGCCCAGCGACCATTGCCTCAAGACACAGGGGAATACCAAGAGAGGACACCATTAAGCTTTGTTCAGATACAACTGCCCGCACAGAGTTACAAACACTTTACTCACTGACGAGAAAAGAAGATGGAAGAATGGAACAAATTTAAAATGGCAAAGTATTTCTAAAAAAACACCCCAAAAACCCACACCTGCATGTCAATGTTTATTTCGGTTTATTTCTCCGATAGTCTATGAATCATTCTTCCCAACATACTTCGAGTGTTCTTTTTGTTATCTACGTCTTCATATTTTCCAACAGCGCTCAGCAGTATTTGCTAATCTTTTGTCCTTCTCACTGTAAGTACCATACATACCTTCAACTGCTTCATCGTCTCTCTGTTCTCACATAGAAAGGTCTGAAGAAACAAAAGGACAAATTCCATTTTAAAAATGAGCATGTGCGTGTGTGTGTGAGAGTGTGCATGTGTCATTGCTCATGTTTTCTGTCTTCTTATCCATGATGTCAACACAGCCAAACCAAATCCAAATAAATGAACCCCCCCCATAAAATATGCAACATACCGACAAAAGCAATAGATCCCGTTTTAATGCTTGAAAGGCAAAAGGGAGGTAATCAGTGGCTTATTTTCTAACCAATGTAATGTCAGTTACTATGATTTTCTTCTTCTCTATCTCTTTAATTTTCCATTTTTATTGGTTTACTCAAATTACGCAAGTGTCCAACACATTTACCATTCTTGGACATGATTAAAAGATATTCATGCCTTATGGTATTTCTTTCAATTGAGAAGAAAACAGAAAGCCACTTTTCAAGGCACTTCAATTTGATATGCCCAAATACATTAAAAAATCTTCAATCATTTCAGGAGGCTGGATTCATCACAGCACTGTTCCCGAGACGGTTACCTTGATTTCCCCCATCAACGTTTTGTTCTCCGTCAGTACAGTCTGCAAAAAGACAAATGAGAATTACCTCTCAGAGGAGAGAACAAAATATCAAAAGTTCACATTCCACCTTAGCTAACCCCCCAAATATAACAACACCGTTGAATAAAGTACAAGGGAATGTTTTCCTTATTTTCAGGAAACAGTCTGAACCCATAGGGTGTACTGTTACGGTCAGAGTTTATAAACTTTCTGTCCCCGTGGTTTTATGCACCCCGCATAATTTAGCAAAATTTGATCATTTTGTTGTATAATTTCTGATTATTTTCCCTTTATCATTCTTTGTTAAAATTAACAGAATCGCATAATTTCACATTTTTGGGCTCAGTTTGCATAATTTCAGAATTTTTCTTGCAATAAAACGAGGACAGAAAAGTAGAGAAATATCACCGGCAAGCTCAACGCCAACAGCATGTGCAATTTTCAAAGAAAGCACCGGGGGCTCTCGAAGCCTAGAGGTTAAGGTGTCCGCCTCTCATTCAATAGGTCCCACGGGTTTGAATTCGGACAGGGACGGAAAATTTTCTTCTGTAAAAATGTTCTCCTTTCGCATCCTTTCTTGCTCTCCAACAACATTCTGTCGTCTGCTTGTCTCTACTTTCTGCCCCCACCCCCACATCTCCTTTGCCCCTCCTTTAGGGTCCTGACTCTTTGATCGTATGGTAGGTAAGATCTACACCTGAGGGCGAAAAATCTAGGAGGTCCCATGCGCAAGTCGCACACGTTAAAGATCCATTGGTGGTCCAAAATCAATAAGAGTAGGCCTCAGCTGCCACCCAGGCAAAATTCTAAATTTCCTACCACCTGGAAATGTTTGGTGTGTCCCGTGCGCTTACATTACTTTATGCAGTTGAGATCGCCTTAAAACACTTACTAAATTTAAAAAAAAAGAAAATACCTGAGAAGCAACAGCAAATCTAGTCCTTCTCAGTTTCTTTCACAGATCGTACAGAAGCCATATGTATAAAGCATTGCAAAACCATAGTGCCTTGTATAAAGAAAAGCCTCCACTCAATTTGCTAAACCTAAAAAAAAAGCTGAAGTTAAAGACCTCCGACGTTCGCGAAAAAAGTAATTTACAGTGCCTTTAGGTCAAAATCAATGACTTTCGCTGGGCCTATACATCACTATATGGTTTCAAGGATTTATTCAATAATCAGCTATACAACACCCAAGTGAGTAAACTAGCTAACCCAAATATTACACCAATGTACAAAGTAAAAAAGAATGCTTTTCACACAAAACCAAAACTATCCTATTTGTGAGGAAATGCACACTTGTTAAAGTGTAAAAGAGAATGCATTCCTACAAAACCAAGACTTTTCAAAAACTAAACTATCCTATTTGTGAACTCGCAGGGTACATAAATGTGAAAGCTTACTTTAAGCTGAGCGTTATTGATTCGCAAAACTTTCAAAGGCTAAACGCCCCTACTTGTGAACTCGAAGGGTACATAAATGTGAAAGTTTACTATAAGCTGAGCGTTTTTGACTCGCAAAACTTTCAAAAGCTAAACGACCCCCATTTGTGAACTCCCGCGGTACAAATAAATGTGAAAGCTTACTTTGAGCTGAGCGTTGTTGAGTCGCAACTCCTCCATCATCTTTCCGTTGATGAGGATGAGCTCTTCGTTGCGGTCCAGGACCATCTTAAACAGCGAGGCCTGGCTGTGGCTCAGAGACTTGATCTGGGAGTCCAGGCGCTCCGGGCTCGGGCGGGGTCTTGACGTGTCCGCCAGGTGCTCGCTCGTAGACGACACACTCACTTCTGCCTCGCTCTGAAGAACAGGTTTAACAATAAACAACAGAAAAAACAAAAACAGTAAAAAACAAAAGACAAATATAAAAAAACACAAACTGAGAGAAATATGTCGCTGCTCTGCGGTTTTGATTCAGATTCATCAAGATCAGAGTTGTTTGTTTTCGTAGAGGTTTTACGGCGCTCACAACTGCATAAGGTCATATGAGCGCCAGAAGATTAGAGGCGTTACAAGAGAGAGTAACAAACACAAAAAAAGAAGAGGGGGAGATAAGAACGATAGATGTTCGATAGGAAAGAAGAAACAAACCACACCAGAGCACCCGCCAACCACCCACACAAAAACAAAACAAAAAACAAAACCAAATATAAAAAGCAAAAACTAAGAGAAATATGTTGCTGCTCTGTGGTTATGATTCCGATTCGTCCTTTTCACAGTGTCTTGGAAGGGGGTAGTTTTGATTCAGATTCCGATTTGTCCTTTTCAGTAGGTACCACAAACCCCCGCCTCTGCGCAGTTGAAAGCGTGTAGGAAGCTCGAAATTTGGTCATTTTTAATCAACCATAACTCTTCTAATTTGACACCAATCTTCACCCCGTTTCGAACTAAGTCAGTTCAACTATTGTTTTTAGCTAAAATCAAACTATTGAGGACGGCACGGAACGAGATATTGTATAGTAAGCTATCTAAAAGGGTCACCGAAATGCACGGGAATGCGTTTTTCGCGCCATTTTTCATGCGGCCGCGGCGACAAAAATTTAGGGTGCCTCATAAAAAGCCTTCGCGCTACGCGCCTATAACTGCTATCGTCATGAAACAAAAAGTGCAAGAACGAGCTTTGAATAAGCTTTCACCCGGTACCAATCGCTTGTTGCTAAAGTTAATTGTTGACCCAGAAATATCGGGAGTTTTGGAACCTATTTTTAGAATGGAAATCTCCAAGTCTGACAAATGATTGGTAGAAAGAACCCTGGTCTACTCAAAAGTAGAACATGTCAAGGGAATCGTGTGCAAAAATGACTACGATTGGTCTGGCATCCGTTCAGCGCCGCTTGTTTTTGTAAACACACATGCTGGTCCCATCTCTGGCGACGCGCTTGATTCAGCAATGGCGAAGAATTCTTCACGTGCACTACTACCTATTTTCGATTACGCTCTATTCACGTACATAAGTACATATTAAGGGCTGCATTGTGCTTCCAATCATGGATAGGGATATTCAGGAGATGTGCGGTAAGTTGATTTTGTTAATTAGATTGTTATAGTGTTACATAGTTCTTCATAAAGTCATCAACCTTTGCTTGACCTAGATCTAGCTAGGGCTTGAAGCCGAGATCGCAAACATGCGAACGGGTGGTCTCATTCAGAGCGTCCTGTAATTAATTAAGTACCCAGTATTGTTGTAAATCTGGTTTGGATAGAAAGATAAGAAGCTTAAATTTCTTGAAAATATGGTGAAATCTAAATCAATTTGTTTTTAGTCATTAAAATTGGTGTTTTTCTCTGGTCACGTGACCATTTCATTCTATCGATGATTCCGTAATGGTGACCTCTTTTTAAAGATCATAACAAGCTTGATGAACTCGTCTGTGAAGGGGGTGCAGCTGGCATTTGTTCATTGATGAATGAATATATTCTCTTGAATATCGCGAATATCTGACAGTCTTTGATAACTAATTCATTTAATTGTTTTCTTTTAGCCAATAATATCTATTTAGACTCATGAAACAAGTACCGACACCAATTGAATTATTTTTTGGTACAACTTTTAGAGACTGGTTTACTGCTGAAAATGGACTCTCCTACTGGAGAGCTTCATTCATAATAATTCGTGATTATCAAATAAGTCGGTACCTTTAGAATTGCTAGATCTATTCCTGAATAGACCCAATTTTTTTTAGATTAATGAGCCATGGGGAATTTGAACTTTGTTGCAGATCTAACTTGTGTCTCCTCCACCCTCTCCCCAATTGTCCTGGCCTTGATTTGATTTGAAAATGGGCTCTGCCCGTGCGGGAGCTTCTGCACAATTTTTATATTTTTGGAAAAAAATCATCGTCTTGAAACGATAATGGGCTCTGCCCGGGTGGGAACTTCTGCCCGATTTTTTATATTTTTGAAAAAAAAATGTTTGGAGATTCTTTCCAATTAAAAAAAAAGTAATTAGAATTGAGGAGTTTTTGTGTGTGTTTGTGTATCTGATCTGCCATTGTTGAATATTTACTTTATTAATGCCTCATTTTATCTCAGATTTGATTGCAGAAATAGATTCCTGGCCCAAAAACACATAGAAATGGAGCTTTTGGGCGTCTTTCTTGTTGTTCTAGAGAAGTTATAAATGATTTTGTTGAAATTATGCTGAATAATTTCTTATTTTTTCTCTTATCTAACCTCATATCATTGTAATGCTTCATGTTATCACAGAAATGATAACAGAAATGGATTCCTGGTCCAAAAGTACATTAGCATGGAAAGTTTCAGACATTTACCATGATTTTTGGTGATTTTATTCTGAAAAGTGTTTAGGCCATGTGTACCGTGTTGTGATTTTCTGTTTATAACGCAAAATTGGCAGTTTTCCCGTTTTTGTTGTTCCATAACTGATTAAATTGAAGTGCCAGAACTCTGAAAAAAATTGGGCTATGAATTTGCACTACTGTGAATATGTTCTGTAAGTTTCATTTCTTTTCAGCAATAACTTTCCATTTTATTGATGTCTGAAATCAGTCTTTTTAGCATTTTTGAATTAACATTATGCATCAAGGAGTAACTTTTTTCCAATTTTAAGTCTCTGTATTGGCTTAATTTAAACTCTGATTGTCCTCATCTTGGTATTTTGCATAGTTTATACTGGCACCTGTTCAAACAAATGATAATACACACTTTATGTACCTGAATATATTTTCTGTGAACTCACAAAATCGCACTTTTTAACGTGATTTTAAAGTTGCCAAAAATTTACGACGTCCACAAATTTCAAACGCCTGTCATTTTTTAAATTTATTGTCCGATTTCTATAATTCAAACACCAAAGTTCATGGTTTGCATAGTTCTTTATGATGCAACAAACATAAGTTTGATCAAAGCACTTTGAAATTTGGGTTTGTGGTACCTATTTTCAGTGTCTCGGAAGGGGGTAGTTTTGATTCAGATTCTGATTTGTCAATTTCAGAGTGTCTTGTTGGAGGGTGTTTACTTCTGATCCAGATTTGTCCTTATCAGAGTGTTTGTGTGTGTGTGTGTGTGTGAGTGGTTTTTTTTGCGAAGTGTTTCACGGCGCTCGAAACTGCATAAGGTCATATGAGCGTGCGGGTGCGTGTGTGCGTTATGTTCCACTGGTGCAGGGTAACCACCAGGCCCAAGGAATTTCACTAAAGCTGCTAGCCCTAAGATAAAACTTTGCATCAGATGGGAGAGAACTGATTTTTTTTATTGTTTTAGTAGAGGTTTTACGGTGCTCGCAACTGCATAAGGTCGTATGAGCGCGAGAAGATTAAAGGTGTTACAAGAGAGTAACAAACATAAAAAAAGAAGGGGGGGGGATAAAGACGACAAGGTGTTTGATAGGCAAGAAGGAGAAGAAAAACCACACTAGAGCACCCGCCAACCACCCACGATCTTACCTCAGACGGCTCGGTGGCACTGGTCATCCTGGGTGTGGAGTGGAAGACCTTGGGGCGCGGGGTGCCGTAGCTCACGCTGTTGGCGTTGCTGCTGAACAAACCAGCACTGCTGAGGCTGGACACTTGCACCGGGGTTTTGTTCGGAGTCGCGAACGAACCGTTGGTTTCATGGGATTCTGTTCAAAGATAAGTTACCATAAAGCTTTTTCTTTCTTTTTTTTTTCCCAATTGTTCAGCCACTATTCAGCTCGGCAAAGCGCAACACCGGAAAATAAAACTTTAGAAGGAAAATGCAAACAGTCTGGTTGCTTTTATCTACAAATTTTTTAAAATGAAAATGACAAGTAAGATCAGACAGTTGACACTCAACAGACTTCCGTAATAAAGTGAAAACATTTCATAAGCAGTCTCTTAGATCCCCACCTAATAGAATAGAGTCAAACCCCCTTAATATACTACGGTGCAACCCCCCCCCCCCCCCAGGCCGCACTAAAACATTATATTGCCATCCCCGCTACAGTACAAACTTTAAGTTCATCCCCAAGCTGGCAGTATAATGTGATTTAACTATATTCTTAAATCTACACAACCGCAAAATCTTCTGAGGGCATTTTTTCAACCAACAATTACACAGAGGGGAAAAAACAAATGTGAAAATGCAGCATTACAAACCAACGGGTAAACAAGACGACTTTTTACCCCAGGTGAGCATGTTGATTCTGCTTATTACGTCCTCCAGCTCCAGATCCACCTGCTCGTTGAGTTCCTGAGAAAAGAGACATGGCCCATAAGTCGTAGGTGAGTGACAGATGCAGTTTGCTCAGGCCATTCATTCAAATCTGTGATAAATCCCCTCATTTCTCAGAGCTGTTGCATGAAGGGACATTGTGGAAACATAAATAGAAAACACCAATCATCCATCCCAAAGCCCGATGACTCAAGAGGCAGTTTTAAAAACAAATTGCATCGCGCGCACCCCCCCCCCCCCTCCCACCACCACAAACGGGAGAAAAAAACTGAAAGATTCCACTGAAATCAGAGCAATCTAGACAACTGAGGGAATAGACAGAAATGTTTGAGGCGTGACCAAAGATAGTGAATAACAAGATGGGCCACTCAGCCAAAGATAGTGAATAACAAGATGGGCCACTCAGCCAAAGATAGTGAATAACAAGATGGGCCACTCAGCCAAAGATAGTGAATAACAAGATGGGCCACTCAGCCAAAGATAGTGAATAACAAGATGGGCCACTCAGCCAAAGATAGTGAATAACAAGATGGGCCACTCAGCCAAAGATAGTGAATAACAAGATGGGCCACTCAGCCAAAAAAGTATGCTCTTTGCTTCAGATGGCGCTGCAGTCTGTTTTGAAGCTCTCTTTCGTTTGTCCAGAAGAAGAATAGGAATAGCACCTCCTTGCGTGCGCAGATCGACTGCTGTTCATCAGCAGTTCGGGTATGTTCAGTGCGGAGTTTTAGTTTTAAAAAAATTTTAATGACCTCTCTCCTTTCATTCTAAAGTCAAATTAAACGAAGAAAACAATCACCCTTTCCTCTGGTAGAGGTTTTTTGTCAGCGTAACCATTTTAAAAAAGCGTTCTTCCGAAATTTATCCCAAAACTTGCTAGTTTCACTTTGATTTTTTAAAACTCAAGTAGGGTAACTCTGTTCGCAAAGAGTGCGCTTTTGTGAAGAGGGCGCCACCAAATTTTGAGGACACTTTTTTAATTGGCTCAAAGAGAGAAGTGGCCCATCTTGTTATGTACTATCATTGGCGTGACACTCCATGAGTGAAAACCAATTGTACCATATAGATTACATTTGTGAAAGTCAGTATTATTTAGATAACCCACATGTGAACACAAATTGTACTATATATTACATTTGTTGAACAGTCAGTGTTATTGAAATCACCAACATGTGAACACACATTGTACCATATGTTACCTTTGTTAAAGTCAGTATTATTTAGATTACCCACATGTGAACACATGTTGTACCATATATGTGAGCGGCTCTGAGAAAACCCGTCGGAAGGTGCGAGAAGCTATTCTGAGATATCGCTAAAAATAGGCCCTGAACTTCATTTTTATCGAAAACGAAATTATATGAAATTCAGAAAGATAGACCATTTCTACATCATATGTTTTAAGAAATTTGCTCAAAAGTGATTGAAAATATTTTAAAATAATTATTTTTGAGGACAAAAAAAGACACTTCTTTCCACGGGAACCCTCACATATTATATACCAAAAGAAAGAGAATTTTATTGCCGTTTCGGGAAACCCCAGTGCGCATGAATGTGTGAG